TTGCTCCTCAGCCTTCGAAATCGCAAGTTCCATCAGAAAGCTCGGAAGTTCGTGGCAGCACACTACTCTGACTGAGCCACTTATTGAGCTTTTGATCTTCTTTTGGTACCATTGCAAAAAGCTAAGTGTCATGACTGGTTCTGCAACCAAAAAGCTTGGTGTGAGGAGTATGGTATACCCTAAAGGTAAGAGGCGTTTTGTTACAATTTGACCCAGTTCAGATTGTTTTTGCATTTGGGAGAATGGCACTTTAGATGTGGTATCTTGGATACACCAAAATGTGTAGTTCATCCCGTCTAGCGTCATGCCATGAGTGAGAGCTGTATCAGAGATAAGACTGAGCGCAGACGAGTGTATCAGCACAGCTCCAGCTTTGACATGCTTTTTGAAATGGTTCCAGCATCCTGGCTTCTGATAGCTGTATATCTTGCCGTCGTCTTTTGAACAGCTCTTGAGCCAAGATGCTATCAATTCCGCAAGAGGCTGTTTAGATGCAGGAAATATTAAACAAAAGTTGAAGGTGATAGGTTTCTTGAGTTTCTGGTCCTTAAGCTTCAGGTCTCTGATCAGTTTTTCGTAATCAAGATGATGGAAGCTTTTCATCATCATGTCAGTCTGGGAAAGAGCCGTCAATGAAATTTTGTCGATTGTGGCAGATTCCATGGAACTTGAAATAGGGCTTTGAGAACCAAATACCAAGTATTTCAGTATAGCGTCAGTTGGTGGATCAGGTGTTGCATCTAAATACTTCCATTCTTCAGCCACGGTAGGATAGAGTAGAATAATGTAATTGCTCGAAATGCACGCCAAACCAGACGTCTGAAGACAGAGATGCTTAGCCATATTTTTAACCGTGTCGCGTTCAGCTTGGTCGGTAGGATCGGTGCTGATACTCGCTTGCCAATAAGTAGAATGTTGAATATGGCTGTATCTCGATTTGAAGTCATATATGGTACATATATGATTGAAATCCAAAATCTCTGCACTCGCAAACGCTCTTGCCCAGTCCGAAGTATTTAGTGGAAGGCTTGTGAATTCGAGCTTGATAGGTTGCGTCTGTGGGCCAAACGTGACTGTCTTGATTTTGACACTTGTGACTTTTACTGTTTCAGTGACTGAATGATCATCGAAATGTTGTTCAGGCTCTACAATATTTGACTCAAGGGGTGGAAGGTCAGGCATTGTATCCATCTCGAAATCCATTGTATCGTCGTCACCGAATATAGGAATAGTTTTTGACTGATATAGTGAAGGCTGTACACTTTTCTCCCCTGGAATTTCGGAATCGGTGACTTTAGGGTGAAGTTGGCTCGTGTAGGATATAGAGTGACTATCCTGAGTAGGGTCGTGCGCGAAAGAACAATCTGCACCATTGCGACAACGACCCTGAATCCAGTACCTACAAGGAACAGAACCAGGTCTTGGTGCTACTCGGAGATCGTTATCAGTCGAATGTGCCATTTTGCAGTCAACTCCTTTTGTGCAACTGTCATCATGGAACCAGTAATAGCAGACCCACTGCGGACCGTCGACACTGTCTGGGAGCTGTGCTTTGGTTGGCATGATTTTGGCAGATGGATCTGGCGCTACCCATCCGGAAGGCGGCTTTCTGACTGGGATATCGGGATTTGATTCGTGCAGATACCTACATGTATCGCCCCATTTACAGTCTCCATTCAGATTGTAGAAGAAGCAAATTTGCTGCGACGAAAACCATCCATCTGGGGGCGGGGCAATAGGCAGGAGGGGATCGTTTTGGTGGAGATACTTGCAGCTACTTTCACCGCATCCACTGGGTTGAGTAAAGAAGAAACAGATTGTTCGCTTTTCGTACGGAATTTTCTGTACCTCTTCCCATGACATTTCAGATGGGTGCAGTGCAGGCAGTCGCTGGGAGACTTGTTGCTTCTCGAGAGGCGACTCAACTAGTTCCATGGGCACCTCATTCTGAGGAGCAGACGGGGTTCTATGAAGAGTGTCTGGTCGTGGTAGAGATGAGGATGAAACTTTCGAAGGATTTATCAAGCCACCAGGAATAGCAGTAATATCTGGTGATTTGTCTGCTAAAGTTCTCCCAGCCAGTTCCACTTTTCTGAGGATATGCTTATTCTTGAAATGACGCTGGTCTTTTGATGAATCTGCCGCTGCTTCAATTAAACTCGCTTTTTGTTTTCTGGGCGCTTTTCCGCCAAAAAAAACATTTTGTGACTGTAAAGAAGAACCTCCTCTTGTGGCACCTCCCCCTCCTCGAATCTTTGAGACTCCTCTAGATAACGAAGAGCCCTTCAACACTGAGCTGTTTTTAGACAATGAAGAGCTTTCGGCGGTTGCTATCGGTGAATAATCGCTAGTGTTTACTTTGGAAGCAACATTCTTCTGCAGTTCCTTCTGCGCTGGTGGTTGTGTAGAAGATGAGGCACCCAAGGTCGATTTTTGTCGCGAATTTACGAACAGCGGTTCGTCAGACGATGAATCGGAGTCGATTTGTTGACGTTCCTGAATCTTGGATAGAGTTAGTCAAAGAGATCTAATATCTCGAATGAGTTAGATGACCAAGAATCATTTGTTGTCCGAATTCAAACTAGACTTTCAGGAAGAATGACAATGTATACCATACCCTCGATATACTATCTCTCCGGAAACTCAGTGACTGTATCTGCTAACCAGTCATAAACGCGGAACCCTGCGGGAAGAGACTTGATATGTGAGGGTGGTACCAATACCACACAACATGCAGATGGGTTCTTGATTCAAATGAATGTCTGGGCTTACTTTAGATTTTCTAGCAGCTTGAACTTGCTGTTGTCTTTCGGAGTTTCTTGCATCCCTGAGTGTAGCTGTGTTAACTGGTGGATGTGGAATTGTCGTTTGTGTCTCGTCGATACTATCTGCGTCAGATTCATGAGGCGATACGACTATTCCCTGACGCTTTCTCTTCTCGCGTCGCAAACGAGCACGTCGCGCTTTGCCAGCCTCAGCCACCTTCTTTAGATGTTCCAGTTTTTTGACATCATATGGTGCATCTAAGCCCTGGAGCTCACGAGTTCGTCGTGTTTTCCAGGCGTCAAGAATGCTTTGACCCAATATATTCTTCCTCGGCTCCCACTACCAGAATGTAAGTACTAGGGCTCTTTGAATAGGTTTTAATATTAAGAAAGAGTTTTTACCGATGATTCTTCCTCTGGGTATCCCGTCCATCTTATCAGATACAGCCTTTGGCCATCTTCTGTTTTTTGGGCCAAAATGCGCTCAACAATGAATTCATGATCCGAGCCATATTGCTCTTCATCGGTTGACTCTATGGAAATTTTGGAAATCTCCTCTTCTTCAAGCGAGGTGAAGCTCCCTTTTGATGATTGGTTGGAAGTCATTTGGCACCATGAATTTCAAATGCACCAAGAACACCAAATTGAAGGTCGAGCGATGTAGTAGAGAGAGGTAGAGGTAGAATGTATTCAATGTTGCCGACTCAATCCAATTCAATTTGGTGATGTCAAACGGAAGAGGATGTGATAGGATGGGTACCTAGCGAGAAGGCAAAGTGGTTTGTTTGGTTTTAGATAGGAAAAGTGTTTGGATGTAAGATGAATAAATCTTGTTGACGAAAGGGAATGAGTTACACGAGAGGGTGAAGATTTGTACTGCCGCACATAAAGAAAGCGAAATGTCTAAATTACTTGATTTCCTTTTTGAGGAAGTTATTTGCTCAAGGAAAAGTTGAATTGAGTCCCTTCAACATGTAATCAAACGACCGCAAACAAAAGGCAGAATGCGTTGTCACGTGATCATTCGCATCTTGATTACCAAGTACTGCACTGCAAGAGACTAGAATGAGGTGATGAACAGGGACAAGAGAATCCATGGATGGGAGAGGTGTGAGAGAGGCGAGAGAAGAGGCAAAATTGATTAGTGAGCCTGGTATGTAGTGACCTCGGAATCTGAAGTGGGTGGAGTCAAGTGAAGTGAAAAATAGTAAGTAATAAAGCTTTCTCCAAGAGCAGAGGAGTGTCTGTCTACCTGACACCTAAATTGAGTAAAGCTTCCCAAAGCGTCATCTCACGTGCAGGCAACCGCTCTGACATTGAATTTCGAAACCACCTGTCTGAATCCTGAAACAAGCAAATAGGAACGAGAACAAAGGATTAGTTATATTATATGTATACAGTATTATTGATCGAATTCTGAATCTCAGAAGTTGTACCTACACTCACTCGTACACTTTCTTTGAATCATTTTGTAAATTTAATACTCAGGAGTCAATCAATACAAAGCCAGGTAGTGTAGGACGGAGTGTAGGACGGAGTATACGTATAACGAGAGAACGAGAGACGCATTCTCAAGATTCGACTCCTTTACAATCTTTCGTCAAGTACGTACTTGGGTACCTGGTAAGTAATACCCAGCCAGGACCATAGAAAAGGAGAGATAAGACAAGGCAAAACCAGCTTCACTTCAACAAGCCGTCACCATTCCACCAGGGGACCAGAAGTGTGAATACTAGGGATTCATCCAGTTAGAGATCTCACACCTAGTACCTCCTACTCCTAGCATACCGTACTCGTTGAGGTCAGTCCAGCCTTTCGAGTATTAATCATACTCATGATTCAATTGATTTCGCTCAGAGTCAGGCAATTCATTGAATTTTGACTTCCATGGTCTAATAGCATCCAAATAAAAGTTTCAGGACTGGTGAACCATACCTAGGTATGAGTAGAAATATAATCAAAATATAATCAAACTTCCATACAACATTGGAATACAAAGTCGGAATACAAAGTCGGAATACAAAGTCGGAGCCACCCAACTTGTAAAATCATCAAAGTTCAAAGTTCAAAGTTCCCCCCCTCGCAACCCAAAAAAAACCCAAAACATCTTTACGACCCCCCCGACCCCGGTTTCTCGCATATCCACACCCATCATCCATCTATCCATCGCAACAACGAAATCCGTTAACCTTTCCCCCCTTCAATAATAAATCCTATTCTACTTCAACATCAATCATGGCGAATGACGAATACGACGTAAGTACATCTCTCCATCAGTTTCTATTCATATCACCAACTCTACAGAATATGCTAACATCTCTTGTGATAGTTCCTGTTCAAGGGTAAATAAATACCACATCCCTCTCCCCTCAACCTTCTCCGTTGCCTTGTGATTGTTCTTCCCCGTCGTCGCTCTCTCTAATCTCTTCTCTCATAGTTGTCCTTATCGGAGACTCTGGTGTCGGTAAATCCAATCTTTTGAGTCGATTTACTCGAAATGAATTCAACCTAGACTCAAAATCAACCATCGGTGTAGAGTTCGCAACTCGATCAATTCAAGTGGATGCAAAGACAATCAAGGCGCAGATCTGGGATACCGCTGGTCAGGAAAGATATCGCGCCATCACATCCGCCTATTATAGAGGTGCCGTTGGTGCTCTTCTGGTTTACGACATTAGCAAACACCAAACCTACGAAAATGTTACAAGATGGCTAAAGGAGTTGAGGGATCATGCTGACTCCAACATTGTCATCATGTTGGTCGGAAACAAGAGCGATTTAAGGCATCTGAGAGCTGTGCCTACGGAGGAGGCCAAACAGTTTGCCAGTAGGGAATTCCTCATTTCTACGACCAAGACGTGATGCTGATCTTTGTCATTGCAGGCGAAAACAACCTTTCCTTTATTGAGACCTCAGCTCTCGATGCTAGCAACGTTGAGCTTGCCTTCCAAAATATTCTTACTGGTATGACTCCTCTCTGCATATATATATGTGTTCGCACATCCTAACAATGTCTGCCTACTCTAGAAATTTATCGAATTGTATCCCAGAAAGCCCTCGATAACGGTGATTCTGCACAGGCCACTATTGCAAGTGGTACAAATATTACACTTACGCCTCCTCCTTCAGACGAGGCAGCAAAGGGAGGCGGAAAATGTTGTTAAATAGTCAGGCGTTCTTACTCTGCGCAACTACACGGACATATTGGTTGATGGTTGATACAAAGGTGTGGCGTCTTTAAGTGTCATTGCGGGAGCATGGGGGGTTACGAAGTCAGGGCTAAGCAAAACGCTCAGCACTCGATGAGCGCGGGCTCAAGGATATCTTCCCTTTTTTTTTCCAATTATGTTGTCCGGTGGTTCTTCCTCTCTGGGATTTCACGTCTGCAACGATCGCTATGCTTGTCTAATGCAATGGTTTTTGTCTTAATATCTCTGTTCTAAAGACTCTTTCCTCAAAACTTTCTTCTTCCACTGTCTCCGCTGACTTGATCTTCGCCCATTTCCCTGATCTCATCACTAGGTTTGACCCAAGCGGAACTAGCATCAATCATCTTGCATGTGCCGAACTTATTCACACACCATTCGATGACACCATCCAGTTCCTCCTTACTTTGTTTCTCGAGAGATGCCTTCTCCTTCTCGCTTCCCTTTCCATTCGTCTCCTTGAACTTTTGGACAGCATCCAGAAACTTCTGGCCGTTATCTAAGGACTCCCTGTTGCCATCATTGCCATGCTCCTCCTTCCACGCTTTCCAAGTCTGACCACCCTTTCCCCAAAGTTTTGAATATATTTCTGACTCCTTGACATCACTGTACCATGCTCTTGAATTGTCATAGTCGCCTTCGATTCGATGCAGGATTCCATGTAGATACATGCCCTCGTATGCTGGCGCCGACTGCATATGGCGAGCTAAGAAGTGCGCTGATGGCAAGCCAAGGTTTAAAAGGTGAAGAGCAATCTCTAGAGTTGGATGAAGCTGAAGAGAGGCGATTTCTGAGGTAAGCATTGGATCGTGGGGTGAGGCAGGTGGAAGTAGTGGGGCTGGAATCTTGAGAAGGCGATTGTGGATGGATTTGAAAGTCGCCATGATGTTGTGGTATTGTGAAAGTATTGTGTAGTTGATTTGGATGAAGAATAGAGGGTTAAATGAAGCAAATACTTGGTAAGTACTGTGTAGTTAGTGTGGAGATATGGTCAATACCTTATCCTACCAAACAAGTATGAAAATTGGCAAGTTAGATTCACGATTTACCACTTGCTAATTGAGAGCGTAATGGAAGACGTCATTACTTGGGGGAAGGGCGTTCAAAGGAAGCTTGAAAGACACAAATTGACTTGATCATGTACATCTATCCAGTTCACCGTGGACGATATACAGTATGCATCGAGAATCATGAATTCGGTAGGTAGAATTAGAATCTCAACTGATCATGAGAGTTGCTGGTATTTTCAAGACCCCAACCCCAGTTGGTAGTTCCAGATCTTGTGTTCTTAATAAAAATTCACGTTACATGCAGGAACATGATGCCATGAGGAAGATCTTAATCTATCCCACACCTAGTGAACCAAACACTCCGATACGATACCAAACAAAGTCCTCGGTACCGGATCTCCACGTCTCCATATCTCTCTCCATGTTGTTACAGCTAGCCACGACTCACGAGACTGAGAATTGATCAGTTGATAATTCATACCTGCTGGGTCGATGGGACCAATGATTGATGGCATCTTATCCGAATCGCCGACATATACTAGCAAGGATGTACGCTGAGTATCGCGCTAAGATTAAAGGTCGCGCTTACGCTATCAAGAAATTCTTATGAAAGTTTGGAGATCTCAAGAACTTTTTTGCGCCCGATAGCATTGAACATATATTTTAATATACACAACACAATACAACATTTACAATGGCTTCCGTTTATAAGTCATTATCCAAGACCACTGGTCACAAAGAAGATGGTCCTGCAAATGGGGTTAAGAAAAATAAGCAAAGAGTTTTAATCTTGTCTTCAAGAGGAATTACTTACAGGTAAATAAATTTATACCATTGCAGAGAATCTCAAGACAATGCTAATTTTTCACATGTAGACATCGACATCTCCTCAATGACCTTGCATCCCTTCTTCCTCACGGCAAAAAAGATGCGAAACTCGATACCAAGTCGAAGCTTTATCAATTGAACGAATTGGCCGAATTATATAATTGTAATAATGTATTTTTCTTCGAGGCAAGAAAAGGAAAGGATCTTTACCTGTGGATGAGCAAGGCACCCAACGGACCTACTGTGAAAATGCATATGCAGAATTGTATGTTCATTTTGATATCCTCCTCTTCTGGAAAAGTCTACCTTTCTAACACTTCTTAGTACACACCATGGAAGAACTCCATTTCACCGGAAACTGCCTCAAAGGCTCCCGACCCATCCTTTCTTTCGATGCCTCTTTTGATAAGGAACCTCATCTCCGCGTTCTGAAAGAACTATTCCTCCATATCTTCGGTGTACCAAAGGGTGCAAGAAAATCGAAACCTTTCATTGATCATGTTATGGGATTCACATTGGCAGATGGCAAAATCTGGATTCGAAACTATCAAATCAGCGAGACGGAACCATCGAAAGTGAAGGGCGCTGAAGAAGAAACTTCCACGAAATCTAAATCGAAGAGCTCGGGAGCCAGCGAGACGGAATGCAACTTGGTGGAGATTGGACCAAGATTCGTGTTGACACCCATTGTCATTCAAGAGGGAAGTTTTGGTGGACCAATCATCTACGAAAACAAGGAGTTCGTGTCGCCCAACCAAGTCAGAAGCGAGATCAGAAAGAAGAAGGCAGGAAGATATAATGCGAGGGCTGAACAGGGTATTGAGAGACTGGCAAAGAAGGGAGAATTGGGACTCAGAACGAGTGGAGGAAGACAGGCGCCAAAGGATGCCCTGGATAATGCCGAGTTGTTTGCTTAGACTGAGAAGATTCCCTAATGGCGTTTGGTGCATGGAAAATATGTATAAGGGAGAAATTAAGAGAAAAGTTTACTTCTTGCGAAACTTGGAACGGCTAACTGCTCATTTGCGGTGTGTGTAAAGAACCAATACTAAATCCTCATAGTGTGACACAAACTATACACGCATGTGCTAACCCTACAAATTCTGTCAAGAAAACATTCAGTGATAGAAATGTCGTATGCATGGTTGCGCCCTTGTATCACCACCAATACTTATACCCAATCATTACATTCCATTCGCGCCATTACCAGCATAAGTCAACACGAACTCTGTTATTCTTTATCGTGTAACTATCAAACGTTCACTCTATCTATCAAAGCGGGGGCATCTTCGGTCGCCACTCGGCTGAGATGTCTCACATCTCAGCCAATGAAACTGTGTGACTCTTCGATTAGTAATTAATTACTAATGTTTCCACTAAATCTATCGTAGGTCATGAGCTAGTATATGAGTATTTAGTATAAATAGAATATAAGAGGGAATAGACTAGTATTAGTCTATTATGGGAAGCTGGCTCAGTTTAACAACTAAAAAGCAATAAAAACACGTGATATTTATGAATCTGTATATTGATATTCACTTTCTTATTCTATATTAAGAGGGAAAAAGCTCTTATTTTATACTTTTTTCAATCCAATCTAGTTTCTCGCTTTCGTTAATGTTGGTTCGAGAGAGATACGGAAGACGTGGTTCCCACTATCAGTAGGCCCCTAAATGTCTATTTGTATTCAATCTAAAGAGCTAGCTAATGAGGGGAAATAGTAGGCCTTATATAGACACTACTAAAAGAGCTAGTCTTCTTCACATTCGCCTAAATACCTTTGATACAGTAGCCATTGTATTGAAGTCATTCTTTTGAAGTGAATTCCCTTGTTTATACATTCGGAACTCTTTTTTATGGCTTCAAATACAATGGCTGAAAAGAAATTCGTAAAATTATAAAATCCTCTATCTGCTGATTAAATTCCCTAACTTCTTACTAGTAAAACCAATCCCTTTCTTTAATTCTATTTTATCTACTTTATTGTTTTGATATCGATCTTATTCGTATTGATCAGATCAGCGAGAGCTTGATATGGCTTTTCTTTTGTTATTGTATTGGCTGGATTAGTTGAACCATCAATCCAGATCACTTCGACAATTTTTCTCCGCTTGTAGAATTGACGCAATGCTATGATATCGATTATTAGTCTTTTCTCACTAATCGTTCTCAGCTTTGTGAGTAGGTCGTATAATGACTTGGAATCAGTATACAAAAACTAATGGGATTTTCTTGTTGAGAATAGCGTTAACCGTGGAAGTGATTGCGATACCGATATCGAATCCCTGAACTAATCCGTATAGTTCAGATGCTAGAATATTATGTGTGACTCTGTTCCACTTGAGAAGCATATTCCGCTGATGTTCAGGTTCTTCGAAATTGTTGATTATTATATTACACAAACCTTTATATGTTTTAGAAAGACTGCTAAGGTTTATCTGATAGTAATTTTTAATTATATCTGAAAGCATAATCGAAAAGGTTATCAAAGTCATTTTGGTTGGTATAAATATCTTATGGCAATGCTCCCTAAATATAGAAATCTTTAATTCAAAAGAATTATTAATGCTTTTATATTTGTTATTATTTTTATAGATCTTTGAGAAATCAATAAGATAACGACCCTGATTATATTAATTATCGTTTTAGTGGTCGGGATGATTAGAATGATTTCTATTTCTATTATCTCTATTACCATTTCTGTTATTACCTTTATCATTATCTTTATCATTTTTATTATTACTTTTATTATTTTCCTAATCGTTATTATTATTTGAGTCATTATTATCACTAGGTAATTCTGTAGGAGTGTTAATTGATGGAATTCTAGAGTCTGGTTCTGGTATTGGTAAAGATGTATATAGAATTTGTATATCCCTAAATTGGAATGGAACTGATTCTTTATATATATCAAAAGGAACAATCAAACTACTTGTAATTTTGCCGGGTTTTAATAAAGTTAGGTGACTAGCTGGGTTACCATCCTGAAATTCGATGGAAGGTTCGGCTTGTGGTCTCGGATCGAGTTCGATAGGAAAGTGGGCTTATTTCGTGAATACAAATGATTATATCTCATTAATCTGGTATTCCAAAAACTATTTCGTAGTCTAATTGTAATATTCTTTGTAGAGAAATGTTTTTATTAAAGTATCATCGAGATTTGTATTTATATTAATATAAATTTTATAACATTGTAAAACCTTACAAAAGTCATATAGTATTAACTTATTAATGCTTCTAAATAAAGCTCGTCGAATAAACTCGAAATCGAATATGATTGTATTCTGAAAAAGTGTATTAGTGATTCTTGTATTCGAATATGTAGTTGTTCTAAAAAGAAAGTATTTGTCAATCTGATGCTTTGTTCCCATCTTGAATATATATCCTTTATAAAACTGCTTGACTTTATTGAAATCTTTCGGAAAGAAATAATCCTGGGGTTTTCCTTTAAACTTTAAATCCTTAATAGTTTTCTGAGTTTTTCTTTCTTTAGCTATTATTTTGTTAGGAAGATAGAGTGTCACGGCGCCAACTATATGATCTGTAGTTGCCTTTGTGTCTTAGGTATAGTATACTAGTGCGCTCTACTTCCTATAAGTAGGGCTTTACTCTTTTATAGCTCTTCTATTCTTATAATATAATATAAGTCTTTATCCGTACCTTGATAATTTGTATTATCTTCAAATAAGTTATTACAGTTTTATTTCTTATTTTATTTCTAAAACCCCACCGATGTCTTATCCCGATTGTGCTGATTGTACTTATTGTTAATCTATTGTATACCCTACCACCGATATTTTGAACTTTAAAAAGTACTGAAAATGGGTAAACAAGTATTTATACCAGAAGTGCTTGTATCTGGTTTATTTCTGTAATTCCTTTTCTTGAATTACATTTTCAATTTTGCTGAAGCTGATATCTTTTCCTTTATAGATTTATTTAATGATTTAAATACTGTATACTTTGTTGTTATTCAAGTTGTATTTGAATCAATCAAATCGATTACAAGCTTATTATAAACTTAAGCTATTACTACTTAAACTCAA